GTGAGTGAGTGAGTGAGTGAGTGAGTGAGTGAGTGAGTGAGTGAGTGAGTGAGTGAGTGAGTGAGTGAGTGAGTGAGTGAGTGAGTGAGTGAGTGAGTGAGTGAGTGAGTGAGTGAGTGAGTGAGTGAGTGAGTGAGTGAGTGAGTGAGTGAGTGAGTGAGTGAGTGAGTGAGTGAGTGAGTGAGTGAGTGAGTGAGTGAGTGAGTGAGTGAGTGAGTGAGTGAGTGCAGAGAAACTCAGAGGTTATATACCATGATAACCTCGCAGGCCTCCGACTTCACGCTTTTCACTCAAACTGATTCTTACACACATATGTGTTAAACCAGTGGTTCTCGGTTTGTTCTGTCATGACTCCTTTGTAACAGGAACAACCTTTGTACAACCTTAACACTCCCACTGTAATCAACCAACCGCATTGTTGGCAAATTTTGTTAGCATGTGTGTACTTGTTGAATAATGGGGAACTGTTTGACAGATTGCGATTTGTCGTAAAGCAAATTAGAAGTGAAGTTTTGGTTTTATTGAAAAAAAAAGTGAAAAAAAAAAAAGATTTTTTATCTGTCAGTTTTTGTTGTATATAAAAAAAAAGACAAAAAAGAAACTAAATTTTGATAGTTTTCACTGTTGTGAATAATGAGTTAAAAGTAAAAAAAAAATAAAGAAAATCATTTATTGTCAGCGGACCTACATTATCTTTTGCAAAGTTTGTATATAAAATATTAATAATTCATATAAATAATTAAATTAAGCTAAATTTAATGAATAGTTCACCCAGAAATCAAACGTTTGCCATTTATTCACCGTCATGCAGCGTTTTTATTGTTACCAAGAAATAAAACTATTAAAAAAAAAGATTTTTCGTTAAATGAAATAAAGCTGAAATAAAATATAAATATTAGATGAAAAACTTGAACTAATCAAAAATTAGAAATGTACTAAAAGTACTTACTGAAAATCCAAAAATTAAATAAAAATAAATTAATACTTTTTAGAAATATTTTTAAAAACAAATAAAAATGACAAGCATAAATCAATGACTAAGGGCCAAATTTACTAAAATGGGCAAATTAGCATGAGAGCGCAATTCCAAAAAAGCACTAATGGGAGTGGAAATTTCTGCGGGTGATTTACTGACAATGCGCAAATTAAAGAACACAGACGCAGCCAGATAATTTCCATAATGACCATCACAATCTACCAAGAGCAGCGCAAATTAGCATCTGCTTTAAGACATGCTTTTTTTCCGCATTAAATAATGGCGCAAATACCAGTAATATGACAAGCACAAATGTTAGTAAATCATGTTGCGTGATTCATTTTAATACTCTCCTCCCATAAATTTTGTGTCTTAAAGGGAAACTCCTACAAATGCATATTCAATAAGATCAGGCGCAAAAATAACTGTGTCCAAGCCTTTTCAGCTCTATTTCTTCACTGTGCGTCTTTAGTAAATCCTGACAGTACTATTTTAACGCCAAAAGACGGTTTGCGTTGGCGCAAGCTGTTAGTAAATCTGGCCCTATAAGTGTAATTAAAATGATAAAAATAAAAATTATTATAGTTTATAAATAGCACTAAAATAACACTGGCCTCATGTCGGTATAAATCCGTATTTTTTATCTGTGGAACACAAACAGAGATGGATGAGACATGAGAGGATTATGACCAACTGTCCAGTTTCAAAAATCACATAAAAGTACCATAAAAGTAGTCCACATGACTCTGCATGCTCTATATTCTTGTGAAATCATAGTCTTGTGAAGCCAAAGGAAATGAAAGAAACCTAAGAACTTGGGAAGCTTCCCGTCCCCCTACAATTTGAGAACCACTGGGTTAAGCATCTTGTGCACTTTTTCTGTCCTGCTTTCTTTCCTTCCTTGCCTTTCTTTCATTCTCTTTTTCTTTCTTTCTTTCTTTCTTTCTTGCTTTCTTTCTTTCTTGCTTTCTTTCTTTCTCAGACATGAAGGGAGAACGTGGAGTCTGGAGCGAACAGACAGCGTCCTCTCCGACTGTCCTTCCGGCATGATGTCGTCCTCAGTGGGGACCAGTAAATGCAACAGTCCTGTGTGCATGGAGGCGCGGGCCAGGCGTGCCGCACACTGTGGCTTTACTGAGCCCCACCGGCCGGCCCTGCAGTATGGTGACTCTTTCGACTCGCTTGGGGACTCTCCGCATAGCGACAGGTGCGCAGGAGCACCCTCTATTTGCAGCCATGGCACTGAGAACCATTTTAGTGTGTGCAGTAAGACTCCTCTGCATTTCAGTGCCCGGTCTCCTTTACCCCTGGGGACTGGCATGGGTGGCGTGAAAGATTCAATAGCAAATATTCACAGCATGTACCATCAGGATACAAATTAAAGGGGTCATATGACGTTGCTAAAAAAGAACATTATTTTGGGTATTTGGTGTAATGAAATGTGTTTATGCGGTTTAAGGTTCAAAAAACATATTATTTTCCACATACTGTACATTATTGTTTCTCCTCTATGCCCCGCCTTTCTGAAACACTTCGATTTTTACAAAGCTCATCGGTCTGAAAAGCGAGGTGTGCTCTGATTGGCCAGCTATCCAGTGTGTTGTGATTGGCTGAATACCTCAAGCGTGTGACAGAAATGTTACGCCCCTTACCATACTGTGATGCCATGTCCCGGCGCGACGAGACAAAACCAATAAAACCCATTATAAACGAGGCATTTGTTGCATCCAGTGGGGACACTGATCCACCTAATTAAAACCTGAACCCCACAATTCAACAGCCCATGCAACTAAATAAAATTAGCTCCACAGTATTATAATAATATCAATGATAAAAATTGTTAAAAAGAATAAAAATCGAAATAAGGAATATATATATATATATATATATATATATATAGTGGGTACGGAAAAGATTACATGATTACATATTATTCACACAATGGCAGTAAATTATTCAATTATTATGAAATATTATAAATTATTCACATATTCTAAATTGCTTTCTAAAATTCTACTGTTTTGATACATTTGGAAAGTCTTCCAGCTTTTCATCATTTCACAAACCCCAGTTTGGGAAACCCTGGCATAATGTAATGTGTGATGTTGATAACAAAGAATGGAATATATTTGAGGTAAAAAATAATCTAAAAGTAATCAAAAAGTAGTCAGAATGGGTAATTCAATAGATTACTCTACAAACAATAATTTCCGTTATGTAATTTGCAATCAGTAATGGACTACAATTTAAGAAGTAATCAACCTAAAAAAGTAATCTACCCAGCACTGTGTGTATATACACACAAAATTTAGCAATATAAATATTGAAATATAATTATTATGTGTAATTATGTATAATATAATATAAATGTTATATTTATTTAAAAATCTGACAAAATTATGTCATTAAAAATTATAGTGTATATATATTGTAATATATATATTTATATTTACATTTATAATTATTATAATCTATAGATATATATATATATAATCTATAGATAGATAGATAGATAGATAGATAGATATAAATATATAAAAATATTTAGTTACATGTGCTACATCAGCCACTAGCATAAGAAATAAGAAAGTTGACCTCTCAAAAGTGATTGTATAAATCACACACTGCGTACCATGAAGAATATAACAGTAAAATTTGTTGCGCAAATCGTGCAGATGCTCTGGCCCAGCTGAGAGTATCAGAGAGGGAGTCGGGGTCAAGCAAAGCTTCTCTGCTCCAGATATGCAGTATCAAGGAAGAGAGATTCTAGCCCACGGCCAGCTGTATTTACAGTTATCTCTCGCCTGCGAAACGCCCACGCCACCATGCAAGGGCCAAAACAGGAGAATTTATACCGTGAGGGGTTCATTAAGTCAACAAGAGCCGAACAACACATTATCTCAGGGGTGAAGCAGGTCTCTGGTGTTCTGCTCTGCACTATTTCCCTCTCTACCTTCTCTCCTGCTCTGCAGCTGACTGAGCTGTTGTGCATACGGCTATCTGCCCTCAGGCCCTGCAAATCTGTGACAGAGCAGCCAGTGTTCATTTATCTGCTCCAGTTTGACTGTGGCCTCCTCTCTCAGGGCACGCTCACTTTAACTCACACAGCAATAAGGAAAATTACCCACATACATGATTAAGTGTAGCACGATGCACTGTAATGGAAGGGAACTCATAAGGCAAGCGTCGTCATCCATCTGATGGCGTGCTGCAGTAACAATGCTAAGCCTAGACTGGGAGGTTTGACGTGGCCTCATTTGTTCCTGTAGTGTGTACGTCTGCTGTCATTTGCTATTGAGCTTTCAGCCGCCATGTCTTAGTGTGCATACTATCATTTTTCAAGTGCCATAGCAAGGTTGGCGTAAATTGATATAGTACTGCAAAAGTACAAGGCAGGATCACTTCATATGGACAGAACAGGGATCCCACACCTTTAGACCAGTGGATTTTCACAAATTGTCCATGATGCAGTAAGGATTTTAACACTATTTTAGAGAGGTTGCACTCAAACAGCAATTTCTAGTCAGCAGTTGAGTATAACTAGTAGAATAGAAAATGTAATCACAAGAGAAAATTTTTAAAGACTGATTTAATTTTGAATGACTTTTCCAGGCCTAAAGATCACAATTTTAAAATTCCAGGTTCTCCATGAATGGGGGAACTTGAGGAAGAGGTTCTCAACCTTTAGGTCACTCATGTGTGGTCAGAAGCAGAAGATTTATTGTATTATATTTACTTATGAATGATAGTTATTTAATTTAGTGCAGCAAGTAAGCATCACCCCCCATTTTTGAACATAGATGTGAAAGTGCTCTATCCAAACTTAAATGTATAACTTCAAACTTCAGAACATTAATAAATAAAAACACTTAACCTAGCTTAATGGACTACGGTGCTAAGGACCTTATTCAGTAGGGGCTACAGTTTGTTAATACAGATAGGCAAGAAGAATAAGAAGATGAGCACAGAATATGAACGCAAAGCGCTTAATGTGCAATTTAGCGCATTTAGTTTATATTAGGTTCATCTGCTTGCCTGCATAGTTTGCATCATCAAGGTAACTGAATTTGATCTTTTAAAGTGTTAATGCATAAGCCACGTTAAGCGTAATGATAATCTAAAAATGTGCTTTATGTGGTAACAAATTAATCTTAAAATCTTAAAATTAATCTAAATTAGTCTTATTTAAATTATTTTTTTTTTAAATGTTAACATTATAAATATATTAGGTTACACCATTAAAACTTTAAGGGTAAGAACAAGTAAATAGCTCTTTAACATATCCTATACAATTGTTACTACTTTTTTCACACGTTTTTGCACTCCATTGCACTACCTTTGCGCTCGTGTCTCGCGTCGTTTGCAGTTTCTCGAGCATGACACGGCATTCTAAAAACGCGCTCGTCAAAAGAGTTTTTTTTTTTCCAAATTCCACTGCCGCGTCTTGTGTTTTTCAAAGCAAAAGCACATTCTATGTGGTTTGTGAATGCCTTTTAGAATGTCCTGCGACGGGGCCCTCCAAAGAGGCGGGGCCCCCAGGCACCGTGGGGGCTGCGGGGGTGTCCTGTACGCCACTGCCGAGACTCAAACCCGTGTCCTTTGGGTTAAAAGTCCGACTCTCTAACCATTAGGCCAGGACTGCCCCAGTATGTATTATTGTGTACATTACCATTACCATTCAAAGGTCAGAGATTTTTTTTCTTTTCTTTTGCTTAAAGAAATTAATACTTTTATTCAGCTAAGATGCATTAAATTGATCAAAAGTGACAGTAAAAACTTTTACATTGTTTAAAAAAAAAATCTATTGCAAATAAATGCTGTTTTCTTTAACTTTCTATTAATCAAGAAATCCTGAAAAAGAGTATCATGCTTTCCACAAAAATATTAAGCAGCACTGCTGTTTTCAACACTGATAATAAGAAGAAATGTTTCCCAAGTGCAAAATGAGCATATTAGAATGATTTCTGAAGGATCATTGTGACACTTAAGAATGGAAAAATGGCTCCTGAAAATTTTGCTTTGCATCACAGGAATATATTACATGTTTAAAAATATTCAAACAGCAAATAGTTATTTTAAATTGTAATTATATTTCACAATGTTAATGTTTTGTGAATGGTTTAATTCTGTCATATGGGTGACCAAAAAAGGTTGAGAACCCCTGAATTTAACTTCTTTTTCGGTGGTGGGTCCCTTTGCTTTTACAGTGTGTTTACTTGATTTACTTAACTGATGTGCATATCTGTTCCACACAACCTTCTTCTCTCCCGCTCTTGCTCGCTCTTCTTCCTCTCTCTGCTGTCTCTCTCTCCCTGCCCTTCTCTCGGCACAGGTACGTGTCGGCGCTGACCACTCCGGCTCGCCTGTCTCCCGTGGACTTCCATTACTCACTGCCCCCGCAGGTGCCTACCTTCCAGATAACGTCTCCAAACGCCAGCCACGCCATGTCTCTGCCCCCCGCAGCCCACGCTCCCTACCCACCGGAGGAGGACCAGCCGCTGCTGCGGCGCTACCAGGTGCCCCTGCATGAGGCGCGGGGCCACGAGCCCTACCGGCAGCAGCAGCGTGGCAGCTACCTGCGTGACAGCACTGGCAGCCTTCCCTCCAGCCCCTACCGGCTGGCTCAAGAGGAAGAGTACGAAAGCACCCAGGAGTACCTCTCCTCGATGGAGCAACCAAAGAGAAGCAGTCGGCACTGGCGCAGGTCCAGACTCAACGGCCACGTGGCGCCACGCGGCTACCAGCCCTCCTGGGACTTAGGCTCGCGCAGCTGCCTGTCGGACAGTGACTCAGAGGTGGAGGAATGTGAGAGCACGCCCTTCCTCAGTATGCAGAATATGAATGCCACCGAGCCCGTCACCCTCTACAGGCCCGTGCCCGACACACAGACTTCTCACGCCCAGATTGGGCGGCACGGGTCTCGCGCCAACACACAGACCAGACTGACGCACTCGCGCTCCAAACTGGACAATGCACCCCACTAGAGAGACCGCCACCTATTCACAAAAACCGATCTACTATAGACATGCACCTATAAGAAATATTTTTATTTTATATAACTGACAGATATTATAAACAAATGAAATATTTATTTTCATTTTAGCAAAAGTTGTCTACTAGTTAACAGCAAAGACTTTTTTTATAGGGAAAACTCTATTTATATGTACATTTTGATTTACAGCATAAAAAAGATTTTTTTCACAACTTAAAAAAAAAAAATAGAGTAATATTGTGGTGCCTTTTGCTGTATGCTGAGGGCCAGAGGGCCAGTGGAGTTTTTTGTAGCCTTTCTTATACGGACGCCTCATTTTTTATACTCGTTTACTCTTTTGTTGTCTCTTTTTGGCCTTTTTTCCTTACTTTCCTTTCCAGGTTGTGTTCTTTTGGGAGCTGACCCCCATTTGAACTGTGACATCCACCCTTCCCACCGTCATGCAATATAAACCACTCTAACATAAGGTGTATGTTTACATGAATTTCATCCACAGAGATGTTTTATGATCATGTTGCTTTGCCAACAGGAAATCAATAACAAATGCAATCGGGGGTTCGGAAAAAACGTACGAGTGTGTGTGAGTGTGAACGACCAAACGCGAGAGGCCTCGAAATGACTGTGGCTCTGAGAAATATGCTGCTGATGTCTAGAGTTACGCATGTGGGCACTTGATGTCGTCTTACAGATGCACCGCCTTGACTTGCTTTGCATCCCTACAGGGTAAAGGTGCGGTCACATTTACCATTGTTCGGCGAATTTTCGTGGGCGAAATCCAGTGATTTCAATTGGAATTCGTGTGATTGTGAATTCCGGTTTGAGGATGAAAGATTTCCTCATGCTGTTGTAGTTTGTCACACAGATTGGCTGCGTTGACCAGCAGAAAACTGTTTGGTTTCAAAGTGACCCCTGTGTGCTTCATACATCGCTACACTACTGACAATGGACTTTTTTGCCCTCAAAATTTCGCTAATGTGACCGCACCTTAAGGTTTGTCACACGGAAGCCTTCTCTTTCCAAAGGGGATTGTGGGTTAAATATGAGGGGGCCGTGGGCCGGGCTGTCAATGCTAATAGCTTTTGACAGATAACAAAGAAATAAAGAACATATAGTCTCTCCCACTCAACCCACTTTCCCATCACTCAGTCGAATCGCCCTCATTATCAGCAAATCCATCCGGTTAGAGCGGCCAGTGGAGAGATAGATTGGAGGAATGGAAGGCCTCACAGCGTCTCAGGACTTCACTCCACTGCACATCTTCCTCTAGCGCAGGGCTGAAGAGAGACTGACACCAGGCTGATAGATGTGTCCACTCCACCAATTGGTCCTGGTACTTTGGGACAGGGAGAGTAACAGGACATTTCACACAGGACATGTTCTTGCACAGTTTTTAATTGTTGCTTTGTTTGATGTATTCCATTCAGAGTCGGAAGTGGGATATTCCTATTTGATATTTCCGACTAGGAATATGGTGTATAAAGAAACAAATTGCATTTTTTACATACACACATACAGTGTATATTATATATAATATTATGATGCTTTTACATATGTAGTATTATTCTTATTCTATTATTATTATATGTTGTTGCAGTATAAGTGCACATGCACATTTTTCCTTTTTTTTTGTGCCATGAATGTCACATTTTCACAAGTTCAACTCTGACATGCAGTGGAGTGGATGAGTATCAGTGAAAAATAGAAAAAAATAATGGACCAATCAAATGAATATGACGGTGTGATAAGCATGTTTATATTTAACAACAATTTAAGTTGGGTTAAGATACTCTTTTTGATTCTGTGCAGTGTTTAGCTGTTTTTAATGTTCGAATGTGTCCTGTGTGAACGGCCCTGAAAAGTTCCTGTGCCGAACACGCAATCACATGCACACACAAACACAGTCTCAAATGACAAGACAAATAGCTGTGAAAAAGATTAGGGGTCATTAAAATACCAAAATATGCAAACTTTATATTCTACTTGTGTTCCAATGCATTTCGTTTGTGTGTGTGTGTGTGTGTGTAATGTGGAGACAATTTGTTTCCTGTTGATGTTTAACTTTGTCAATGTTTTTCATTAGGTCCACATATTTCATAATTATTTAATATATTCACAGTTAATCTAAGACACCAAATAGTGCAGGTCATTATTATTATTATTATTTTATATCGAATGCTATATCATCAGTTTATCATTCTTTTTCATATGTGACTCCATGTCCATTTTGAAGCACTCACTGGGCCCAAACCAAACCAGAAACAGCTGCACTGACTGACTCTGTTTGGATGAAAATACTCCAACATTAAGAACCAGTCAGTATGGATCAGCCTGAGATGAAGTGTACTAAAATCAGCTGTTTTTAACTCTTCACCTTCTAGAGCATCCACAGTCGGCATCAGCTTGCCTCCTTGTTAAAAATGTCGAGAATAATATGTTGAGAGAGGTGAAGTCCATTGGTTTTGGCACAGAAAATCAACACCAAATAACGGAGGAAGATTAGAACTAGACAGATACGTGATAAATGTTTTCATGCACTTCTGTCATAAAAAAAGAGATGAGTTGTGATTATTTTGGTGAAAAACCAATGTACAAGTCCTGATAAAAAGGGGTTTAATGCTGTGTTATGACAGCACAATGGAATAGCCGTTTTTATTTTAAATGAAGAGATGTTTTGTTTTGAAGTTTGAGCAAAAATTATTTTGATCCCCTACCTTTCTTCCTTACATTTTGGGTCTTATTTGTATGTTTGAGAAATGCCAGAAAGACAGTGCTCTAGTTAGTTTAAATGTGATATTGGTACTAAACGGTTATGTCCTGCCAGTTTATTTCTACTTTTCATTTTCCCCGGCTTGAAACGTCTAAACACCTCACCTCTGCATGTCCTTGTGGTCAAGGTTAGATGGGTGCATGGTACAAGCAGCAGATGATTTTTTCCCCCTCAAGTCAGTGGAAGTGTATTTTTTATTTTTTACATCCAGCAATAAAAATGGAATATTTTCCCCCACCACGTCCATTCTTGGAAAATGCTAGAGGATTTAAAAAAGTGAGACAAACACACACGACTGTCATAGATTGTAAAAATAAAATGAAAACACCTGTTCATATGAGAAATTTTTCTTGGTATCATTTTGACACATGCGCATATCTGACCTGTTGTCTGACTCCTCTGTGTGGCTATAGATTTTTACAGCTCAGTGAACAAACCCTTGGCAAAAGGTTTTTTTTCCAAGGCAAATGAGACTCATTCTTTGTGAGCTGATGCCTGAACAGTATTGGCTATACAGTCGGCTATTGCTTGGATACACTTGTTTATTAGACAATATTTGCTCCCAATTAATTTTCTGTTGCATTTTTTATTAGCTTTTTTATTTCTAAATAGGTAAAACATGTCATGTTGCCCAGTTTGACAAATGCTATTTACTATTTATGCACTAAGTACTATTTCTATACTATACTATATCTACCAAGTACTATTTAAATGTTTGATTTTTTAACAATTAGCAGAATGAGCGGAAGCTTTGATAATATACAGGTTTAAAAAATCATAATTTACATAATAGTTTAACATGCTCATGTTTAGTGCTCACACAAAAGTATGTAACCACGTTTAGCATTTATGGGTAAAGTTACAGCTAGGAAGCAATGTCCACTAGAGGATAAATTTTATGTTTGCTCAACTTATCTCATGATTGCCCATGTCTGAGGATTACTTTTCTGGGCGAAACAATGTGTGCTTTATGGTTTATTATAACCTTGTTTGTGTGACATTATGGCACGGACAGACGGAGGAGACTGAGGAACCAGGTTTGAATGATTCTCTCACAACAGCTCGTACCTCCAGCTGCACACATCTGAGTTTCAGTGTCGAAGAGGTGATTCTTTGTGTCTTGTGCATTTCCAAGACATCCATCTGGGGCCCATCATTGCCAACACTTCGCTTTCCACTCGATGACCCTTATCAGCTCTCAGTTTTATGTGTTCCTGCACTCTTTGGTCAATCCTGATGTGCCTAAACATGAAACATATGGCCCAATATACTGTTGAGGAGCTGCCAAGTAAACTTGAATGCACCGTTCTATAGTAACTTCATTGTAGGTGGACTGCGGCCTACCTGTTTTAAGTTTCACACTTACAACTTTAAGAGGTAATTACTTGCCTGATTCTACACGGCAAATGCAGTAAAACAAGCTGAGTATGTTATCTTTAACCGTCATACATTTGGAGATCCCTGCTGTAGTAATGAAAGCAGTTTAGTATTGAGTAGCGTAGTTTAACAACTGCTGAAAGACCTTATTTTTTTCAATCACAGTAATGCAAGTTCTCTCTTACTTCAGTTATTCATCAAAGTGCTAATGTCTTGAGTATATAGTGCAAAAACTGCTTGCAATCTAGACTTTCCAATCCAGACACCTAGTTTTTTTTATTTTATTTTTTTATTTAAAAGCTAGTGCATCCAATATTTGGCAGGTAACAAGAAAGTGAGATGTTACAGATAACTTGCAAAGGATTTTTGAGCAATTCAAATTAATTTGGGACTTGACGTCTGTAGTTCCTCAGCATTTGTGGTGACCCTGCTTAAAAAATAAAAATAAATAGCTTAAAGGCCTCACGCATTATTCTTTGTCAGGAAAATTCAGTATTATAAACATTTTAATTGCAATCAATGCATCTAATTCAAACATTTGCATGTCAATGTGATATCTATTTTTTATGGAGAAGGGTTCAAACTCTTTTCCATTGTATTGCAAAGAAAACTGGCCAACCAGTTCATTTTTGGCTTATAGTCACATGCTGTTACATAAAATAATGGCTTGTTTAAAAAAAACATTCTGATGCGTTTTTTAGGATTGATCTTATCGTATGCAGATAAAGCACATATTTCTTTTGAAAAACATTTGTTTTGGGTGTGAACATGCCTTTTAAGCTGGTCTCCAAGTCTGGCTGGCGTTTTAGTTGATGCAATCTGATATCAAAAGAATTCATAATGAGTTGGCCATTTCATATGAATTCATACGATCTGAATGAAAACGTATTTGTTGGTAAAACTTGGGTAAAACCAAATATTCAGCAGGGTGTGGGCAGATCATGCACAGACATACTCTTATTGCCACCAGTGCAGCAAATTTCATATGAATTTTCATGAGAGTCTTTGGTTTTAATGCATTCTGGGTAGGTGAACATTGAAAAACCATAATGATGTATATTGACTGGAGGAAATATATCACCTTGTTTCTAGAGCCAAAGGCAGTTATCAAATGTTATACATATCTGTCTTTTCTCCGTCATGGAAGCAACAACATCGAAAATCTGGTTCTGTGTCTTTGGGAACGTCTCTCACTACCTGAATGGACAGTGAATCACTGAAATAGACTGTTGTTGGCATGAGCTCCATTCTTTAGTCGTTGACATCAGGAATAAAGTATAAATCATAGTGATTAATAGACTGCCTCTGAGTTTCATTTAAGGGAGAGATGTGATTCCTCCACTACAAGGGAAGTTTCATGTGATGTCTAATCATTCAAAAGAGTGGAAGAACAGCCTGTGCATGTTTAGAACGGCACCGTTGTGGTTTTCTCCTCTCTGGTGAGCTATGATTTTAAGATTAAGGTGTGGAAAAGGGAATATTAGTCTCCAGATGATAACCTGATATGGAAGGCGTTTGGGTCTCAAACTTTCCAAATGTTGCTTCACCTTCAAAATGTGCTAATCATTTCCCAGATGATTTGGCATCATTGTCTGTTCCCATCTACTGATTGCCAAACACCGGATAGCCAAAGCATGATCCCATTAATTTCAGATTCAGCACCAAAACATTTCAGACACATTAATTGGCAAATTTAATTCACAAAATGGCAAGCAATGTAGAGTTGAGGAATATGTTTGGATTTCATTTATGACTTTATAACAAGAACAAACTGAATCAACACTACATTGTCATTGTAGTTTAGCAGAATATATGTCAGGTTGCAAGAGTCTAAAATTAAATCAAACAACATAATCAAAACAATCAAACTTTTCTGTCATTATGAGCTGAAGCGCTTTGTTAAATGTGCATATACAAACATTCACGATCAATCTGCTAGTAACATAACAGCTTAATCCAGTTTAAGTTGTTTTGCTGGTCTAGCTGTCTCTGTGAAAAAGAAGTACACTTTTTTTTTTAATGTGCACTTGCAGTGTACTTTAAATGTTAAAATCTATAAAAACTACTTGCAGATAACTTAATATTAATGAAATAAAAACCACTTAAGCATGCTTACAGAGAGTACACTTTCATGACTGTTTCATAGAACACCTGTACGAGTTTCTTTCTTCTGTTGAGCACAGAAGAATGTTGGCAACCAAACAGCTGACAAATAGGTAGCCATTGACTTCCATAGTATTTTTTTGCATACTCTGGAAGTCAATGGCTACCATCAACTCTCCCTTCAAACACCTGTTCATATGAGAAATTTTTCTTGGTATCATTTTGACACATGCGCATATCTGACCTGTTGTCTGACTCCTCTGTGTGGCTATAGATTTTTACAGCTCAGTGAACAAACCCTTGGCAAAAGGTTTTTTTTCCAAGGCAAATGAGACTCATTCTTTGTGAGCTGATGCCTGAACAGTATTGGCTATACAGTCGGCTATTGCTTGGATACACTTGTTTATTAGACAATATTTGCTCCCAATTAATTTTCTGTTGCATTTTTTATTAGCTTTTTTATTTCTAAATAGGTAAAACATGTCATGTTGCCCAGTTTGACAAATGCTATTTACTATTTATGCACTAAGTACTATTTCTATACTATACTATATCTACCAAGTACTATTTAAATGTTTGATTTTTTAACAATTAGCAGAATGAGCGGAAGCTTTGATAATATACAGGTTTAAAAAATCATAATTTACATAATAGTTTAACATGCTCATGTTTAGTGCTCACACAAAAGTATGTAACCACGTTTAGCATTTATGGGTAAAGTTACAGCTAGGAAGCAATGTCCACTAGAGGATAAATTTTATGTTTGCTCAACTTATCTCATGATTGCCCATGTCTGAGGATTACTTTTCTGGGCGAAACAATGTGTGCTTTATGGTTTATTATAACCTTGTTTGTGTGACATTATGGCACGGACAGACGGAGGAGACTGAGGAACCAGGTTTGAATGATTCTCTCACAACAGCTCGTACCTCCAGCTGCACACATCTGAGTTTCAGTGTCGAAGAGGTGATTCTTTGTGTCTTGTGCATTTCCAAGACATCCATCTGGGGCCCATCATTGCCAACACTTCGCTTTCCACTCGATGACCCTTATCAGCTCTCAGTTTTATGTGTTCCTGCACTCTTTGGTCAATCCTGATGTGCCTAAACATGAAACATATGGCCCAATATACTGTTGAGGAGCTGCCAAGTAAACTTGAATGCACCGTTCTATAGTAACTTCATTGTAGGTGGACTGCGGCCTACCTGTTTTAAGTTTCACACTTACAACTTTAAGAGGTAATTACTTGCCTGATTCTACACGGCAAATGCAGTAAAACAAGCTGAGTATGTTATCTTTAACCGTCATACATTTGGAGATCCCTGCTGTAGTAATGAAAGCAGTTTAGTATTGAGTAGCGTAGTTTAACAACTGCTGAAAGACCTTATTTTTTTCAATCACAGTAATGCAAGTTCTCTCTTACTTCAGTTATTCATCAAAGTGCTAATGTCTTGAGTATATAGTGCAAAAACTGCTTGCAATCTAGACTTTCCAATCCAGACACCTAGTTTTTTTTATTTTATTTTTTTATTTAAAAGCTAGTGCATCCAATATTTGGCAGGTAACAAGAAAGTGAGATGTTACAGATAACTTGCAAAGGATTTTTGAGCAATTCAAATTAATTTGGGACTTGACGTCTGTAGTTCCTCAGCATTTGTGGTGACCCTGCTTAAAAAATAAAAATAAATAGCTTAAAGGCCTCACGCATTATTCTTTGTCAGGAAAATTCAGTATTATAAACATTTTAATTGCAATCAATGCATCTAATTCAAACATTTGCATGTCAATGTGATATCTATTTTTTATGGAGAAGGGTTCAAACTCTTTTCCATTGTATTGCAAAGAAAACTGGCCAACCAGTTCATTTTTGGCTTATAGTCA